GCTTTTTGTTTGATTGAATAATAAAAACACAAATTTACCTCCATAGTAAACACCACTCTATTTCAGCTAAAGCAAAAAGGTTTTTGTTTTTTTTTTTTTAGATTTTTTTATCACAGATCAACAAGCCTTTAAATATAAATGCATAGCTGCAGAGTGGGTTGCAGTTTTGAAACCCAGGATTTAACAATGGATGTAATGTGGTATGCAAAAAAGAAAAATAGCTTGAAAATGAAAGATTTTATTCAGTTTTTTTAAATAAGAATGTTGTTGTTGCTGGTGGTTGTTTACTAATGTAAAGAAAGTGAAAGAAAAAGGTTTTGATACAAAACTTTGGGAAGTTTGAAATTTTGACCACATTTTTCTTGTCTAATTAAATCATTAGAATAAACAGCTTTTGATCTCAGCAAAGCAGAACAAACGTATAGTAACACTTTTTTCTCAGTAAGTTGTATTTTTTAGGTGGTGCAGCTCATCAGACAGGGTGAAGGATAACCTGAGTTCCTGAAGTCTGAAAAAAGTCAAAACAAAAGTCAGGATTTACAGGAAAAGTCCTTTAGAAGAATGTATCTGAAACTGGAGAGGTGGTGAAAAGTTGTGATGTGCAACTACACCAGCACAAATGTCATTTTTATGAATAAGTAATCAGAATACAGCTTAAAAAACATCTGTAACAGTGAAGGACAGAGTAAACAAGTTATGTAATAGTTACAAAACTACTTACCAACTATACCAAGAACTCATCAGGATACACAAGAATTAAAGCTCTTTGTATTTTAGTTCATGTTGAAACCTCTTAAATTTCTGCTGTTAGATTGGATTTAAAACATAAAAAGTGAGTAAGTTTGTGTTGCTAATGAGCAGAAGCCTTGTGTCTCCAGGTTATCGCACTGCCAGTGTTATCATAGCTCTGACAGATGGGGAGCTGCACGAGGATCTTTTCTACTATGCAGAAAGAGAGGTGAGAAAAACAAACACTCGTGACCGAACATGTGATGGGGCAGATAAAAATACTGCCATCATCACTTTGAGCTCCCTCCTGTTACAGGAATCTATTGAGCCTCCTGATGCTCATTTGTCCTTTTTTAAAGCCTCACATGTTGACGGCAGGGATTAAGGGGGACTGTGGCTTTAAGTAGCTGGAAATGTTCTTCTAGGAAACAGCAGGTCTGAGACCAAAAACAAACCCCACAGCCCCAATTACCTAGAAATTAGGAGACAAACGTCGGTGTTTTGTGTTTTTCAGTCAGTCATGTGTTTCTCATGTTGAACAACATTTGAATGTTATTATTGCAGCTGAAACATGTTGCTCAACTTCTTGTAAAATCTTCTTAGAATCAAGGCGAAAGCATTCCATTTTTTATTCAGCGCAATGTTTTGGATGATGTAGTAAAAGTAATTAAATGCAGGCACTGAGCGTCTTCCTGTTTGTGCTGTGACTCTGCGTGTGTGTGTGTGTGTGTGTGTGTGGGTGTGGGTGTGTGTGTGTGTGTGTGTGTGTGTGTGTGTGTGTGTATATACCTGACAGGCAAACCGCTCCAGGAGCCTGGGAGCCTCGGTTTACTGCGTCGGGGTGAAGGACTTCAATGAGACCCAGGTGTGTGTTTGTGGGGTGGCATCAAAGCTGAAGTGATAGAAGTATTTGAAATGTAAAATGAACTCCAAAGCTTTGCAAATGAAACTTCATTAACTCATTTTTGTTAATGAAGTTGTTAAGAAAAAGCACACATGACAGGATATTAAACACTTTTAGGCATTTTTGCACATTTTTTTGATTGAATCATTGCAGTACTGAGATATTTTTTAACAGATTTTTTTGTTTGTTGCATATTTTCTCCTTTATTTCTTCCTTTCTTTTCTAAAGCAAAACTATTTATTGGTGTTTTTTCTGCTGCAAGACCTTTGTTTTATATTTTGGCATTAAGGCCATTACTCGGTGAAGTCAACTCTATCTGTCTGTCTGTAAGCAAAATATCTCAACAACCATTGGATGAATATTAAAAGGCCAATATTATGTGTTTCTCGGGTGTATATTTAAATTCTATACCATAATAAAGTAACTATGTCACCTTCAGTTGTTATTATAATGCTGTTTTTATGGTTTAAATCAAAAATAAACTTGACTTCTCATCATTTCCGTTTCTAAACACCTTGAAATTGGCCTCTGTCTCTTTAAGAACTTCCTTCTGATCCCATCACACCCATTTCAGCACATCATTATAGCCGCTTCTCTCTTGTTTACAAGCTGAAGCGTCGTAGCATGCTTTGTTGTAATGATACTTTAAAAAGCAGCAACATTATACAAGATCAGTTTTGGAATATTGCATCTCAGGATGCATATGAACCTTACTGTCAGACCGGAAAGTACATTTTCTAAAGAACCGGCGCGATTACAGAGAGGATGTTTCAGCTGGTGAGATCATCCACACACATATTGATCGTAATAAGTTACAAATCTCAACACATAGACCGAACAACATGCAGGGTGGGGGTGGTGGATGTGTGCTCTGTGATGAGGAAGCTCAGCTTGGAGACACAGCCCAAAAGGCGGTTCTAGTCCCAACCAGTCGTTTTTGCTCCCCTGCCTGCTGCCTCAGGACACTATAGGAATTCTCAAACATGCATGAATGAGTCAAAGCAAGACTCTGGGCATCTTTTTGATGAGAGGATAACATTATAACATGACATAAAATACAAAAAATTTGATTTTACATGATATTGCCCCTTTAAAGAAAGGTTCAGAAGATAATCAGTGGATGTATGTCTGATATTTGGAGTCAACTCAATTGGTGGTCACCAACTGACTTTGGAAAACATAAAAGTGGCCAAAACTTTGTGAGTTTTTCTAATAATGAGCTAAACCTTGATGTGGTAGTAGCAGAGAATTACTCACAACCATTACTTTGAGCACAAACAGATTCAAGAGACTTTACAACACTATTTTTCATCATGTATAAAGTTAATTTCAACATTTTTTTTGTTTCAAACTCTGACAAGTACAAAGTGTCAGGAAAATGATACAGACCTTTAATACATTTTCCCTCCTTTTGGCTGGTCCTTATTCAGGGGTTGCCACAGCGAGCAACATTGCATAAAGACTTGGCATGACATTTAATGTCATAGGCAATGTTCACTCATAGGAAATGATGAAATGTCCTGATGCAACTCTAATCCAGGTGGAAAAAATCAAAAAGAAAAAAACAAGTAGGTTCTCTGGATGGGGTTCTTCTTTAGCGAAATGTTTCGTCTCTCCTCCAAGAGACTTCTTCAGTCTGACGAATCCAGAGGACCCACTTATTTTTTTCTTTTTGAAATGATGAAATGTTCTTGGGATTTGTGATGCTGATGATTTGTTTCCTTTCTAGCTTGCAAAGATAGCTGACAGTAAGGACCACGTCTTCCCTGTGAACGATGGATTCGAGGCTCTGCAGGGAGTCATCGATTCAGTAAGCATTCGTTACATTACATTAAAGAAGGGAACATTATTTGTGCCAACAGTTTTGGCAATTAGTTTGAAATTATTTCATTCAAATGTTGGTTAAACATCAGAAAAAACAAAGCAGAGTGAGGAACTGAGATGGAAGGTTTGAAGGTTCAGGTCAGGCAGCTGTAAGTCAGTTCCAGCCATGATTTCTTCAGTAACAATAAATATTTATTATGGAGTAAATTATTAAAAGACAAAAGGTTGATTAAAAACATAAATGATTGAACTTTTAAATAGATGAAGAAGAAACTTGTGAGAACAGAAAGGAAAGCTCGGAGTTATTTCCGGCAAAATACACAAACTCTGTTATTTTTATTTATTTATTTATTTATTTATTTATTTATTTATTTATTTATTTATTTATTTCTCATCATCTCTTCAGATCTTGAAGAAGTCCTGCATTGAGATCCTGGCAGCAGAGCCCTCCAGCATCTGTGCAGGAGGTACGACAAAAAAAGATTTCACTATTTTATTTTATTTTATATATATGGCTCAGTTGGTAGAGCTGATGCCTCTCAGCAAGAAGATCTCCGGTTCAAATCCCGGTCTGGGGACCTTTCTGGGTAGAGTTTGCATGTTCTCTCCGTGCATGTGTGGGTTCTCTCCGGGTACTCCGGCTTCCTCCCACAGACCAAAAACATGACTGTTAGGTTAACTGATAACTCTAAATTGTCCCTAGGTGTGAGTGAGAGAGTGAATGGTTGTTTGTCTCGTTTGTCTCTATGTGTGGCCCTGTGATGGACTTGCGACCTGTCCAGGGTGTACCCCGCTCCTCGCACTGTGACTGCTGGATATGGGCACCAGTGACCCACGCGACCCTGAAAAGGAAGAAGCGTGTACAGAAAATGGATGGATTTTATTTTATTTTATTTTATTTTATTTTATTTTATTTTACCAAAATGTGACAACAAAATATCTTCACTGCTGCATCTTGCTTTTTTAGATTCAGCTTTTGCATTTTCTAATATTCCTGAAAACTCAATACAACAGTCCACAACCACAGATCAGGTTTAATGTTTTTGAAGGAGACAAAAATGTGTTTCAATCTTCACGTTACAGGAAATATGTTTAAGGTCAAATCATTTGATACAAGACTTGGTTTTTGAATGAGAAATCCATTTGGAGTCTGTTAAATAAATGTTTATTTTAGTTTTAAAAAGCCTGTCACTCACTCATTAAATATCGCCTGTTTTTTTTGCACAAATGGAACTTAAGCTCAATATTTGGCTCAAAATAAATAATCAGATTGAAAGCTGTTTTTTTTTTTTTTTTTTGTGCAGTTGTGATGTCAGTCTACATCTCTCTGTCCTACCAGAGTCTTTCCAGGTGGTGGTGAGAGGAAATGGATTCCTTCACGCCCGAAACGTCGACAAAGTCTTGTGCAGCTTTCGGATCAACGACACTTTAACCAAAAGTGAGTCAACTAGTAAATGAACATCTCATTATTTCAGTGGATAAAAGCATCAAACGTGATCGCTCAGGACTTTACGGTAAAAGCAGCTGAAACAAAGCGTTGGGTGAACAGGGTCGACTGCACAGCTGGAGTCCTACTGGATCAAACACGCAGCTCTCCTGGTTCCATTGGCATCAGGGCCTTTTTAAAACCAGCACACTGTTGTTTTATGGCTCATTAAAAAAAAACAAGAGATGAAAGACAGACAGTGCCACACACGAAGCAGGGGATGAAAGTCCTCAAAGATACAACCAGATTCTCTCTGTTTTTTACTACCAGCTTACTGTAACAGCTGTAAACAACACGACCTGCTCGCCACAGCAGCTGCAGGAGGTGTAAGTGTTTAGCAGCAGTGAGGAAAATGACAGGCCTGCTTTACTGAATATAAACAAACCAAAACAAGGTATCATTTTGTGCTGCAAAAAGATTCCATTGCTCTGATTATCATTTCCCCACAGTCTCATGTTTTCACAAGCACCTTCATGTTTAAATAACCTAACATTACATTTGAATGTTTTGGATGGTCACGGTGATCCTTTTAACACACTTTTGTTCACAATTTTATCAACTTGTGTCGTACCTTCCAACGTCTTGCAAAGCTTGGAAGCAATTTCTCTTCTGGAACGTTTCCAATCAGCCTGGAGATGATTTTCTTTGTGTCAGACGTAGAGTTTTAATAATGAACAAGTATTTCTCGAAAAAATATATTCTTAGTGAAGGAAAATGTATTCTGTTCAACACAGATTCTTAAATGCACTACACATTCAGAAAATATTTGATCATCTGAAATTACTTATCTTTACGTGCTGTGATTAAATTGGGATTAATTGATGTGCACTCTGTGTCATGGGTCATTCCAAACAGTGTACTTAAAAAGAGACAGGTTAGTTTAAACATCACCAGCCAACAGACAGACACGTAGTTTTTCCATTATAATATAGATTGGTGCACAAGGGGTTGAGTGACTTGAGGAGGAAGGGCTTTCCTTCATCGAGATGATGTCTTGCCCCTGTGGAGTGACTAAACGTTTAAATATGTGTTGTTTGGTTTGATTCATTACCAAAATACTCCAAGACTGAATAAAGGTCTGTGTTTTAGTCCAGCTGAATGGTGGAGTATGGCTTTATTTTATTGCAATTAAATATTCAAGTTTAAATCTGAATTTGTCTTTGTGTCTGCTCTTGCCTCTGAGTAAAAACGTTTCTTAAATTAACACAAAAAGTAAGTTTGGTAAATTATTTTGTTGTAACACTTGGCAATAAATCTTTTATCTTTGGAAAGTCTGTTAGTTTCCCTTTTAAGTGGTGCCACGTTTGTAAGGAACATGCATTTGTTTGATGAGCAGTAGAGCTGAGTATGTGGGTTGCTCACATTAAAGATTTGCTAAATCGTCTCTGTCAAACAGCTTATTCTTCTGTTGCTATAGACTCTTGTTTTTGAGCTTGGTGCTGCCAATCAGGTGCCTGGTTTAAGATTTGTGGCCAAGAAGCATTGATACAATAGAGAAATAATCGACCAAACACAAATTTCCTTACTTTTTGTGCTAAGTTTATATTGCCTGATTTCTTGCTTCTCAAACTTTGAGACAAAAATGTCATCCAGCTTGATGGCATTTTGAGTATTTCTTGTGTCAGACTCTACCACACCAAGGTTTAGCTCAATCATGTTTTTTGATAGCTAAGGTTGGTTAGCTGTGGCAGCCATGCTGAATGTGGTTGAGATCATCAGCTATAGATGTACTTCCAACAGAAGGTTGTGGCTCCAATGTGAGTCTGTCTGAGAGTTGTATTGAAATCTATTCAGTGGTTCTTGAGATATTTTGCTAATAGATGAACACAAGCACCAGCCATGATATGATCGCCCAACTTTTACAGCGATGGACCATAAAACCTGGACTTTCTTTGAGTAGTTTCTTTGATGGTATGAAATGAAAACCATGCCTCTCATTATACAGCCTCACTTGCCCTCTATGTGTTTTATGAATTCTGTCAAATGGTAAAAGAGGAAAGCAGCACAGTGCAACTACATGTGTTAAACAGATGAATCAATGTTTGACTTTGTGTCTCCAGGAAAAAGTAGCAGCAAAGGCAGTCAGACTTGCAGGGAGCTGGCAGATGTCCTGAGCTGTCTGTCGTTTGATGACAGATGTTTCAGCGGACAACTGTTTGATTACAGCACGACAAGACACAAACAAATTCTTTCTTTTTTCCTTCTTGTCAAGCAGAAAATGAAGTGATCCAAGCAACTTTTGTATTGGCGCTAACATTCAGCCACACTGGTTCAGACAAAATCCACTGAACAAATGTGAGGTTTGCTTTAGGTGTACAAAAGACAGTTTCAGAAAGTTTCATAAAATCAACTTTTATACTGATGTTTCTAAACAACTGACCCAATAAAAGTCAGATAAGTTCAAGAGAATCTCTTTACTGAATCAAACAGATTTTAGAGTCTTCTGTAAATCAACCAGGCTGACTGCACACGCCACCGACTGTAATCTTTGACCATTTGTCTTCAGCCCAATCCCCCAATAATCCTATAACTCCTCATAATTTATAGGTCAAAGCTTAACTCGTCTGCAGCTCACCGTAAAACGTGACCTTTCTGGTTGGTTAGAGAGTGAACTGTCCAATAAAACATCCTGAAACTGGATGTGTACCAAAACGTGTATCCCCAGTAGACCTTCCCAAAACACCAAGACTACACAAAATCAGCTTCCATCAGCTTTTAACTAGAATTTTCTTGTGTGTTTTCTTTTGCCTTAAATGGGTAACTTGTGTTGGATGGCGCAGAAATCCACCATGATCAGAACTTTTTCTGGCAAGCAGCTGTTTTGTTGGCACCACCTCCACCACCCCTCCTTTCCCATCTTTCTTTTATTGTCTCCAGTTAGCTCAGCGGCTTGAGCTGATCGCCTGAGTCTGAGATATGCTGCTGCCTGGTCAGAACGAGCTGCCTCCTGGAGTCAGTTTTCAAAAAAACAGACAAAATGAGGATAGATAAAAAGAAAAGCAGTTTTTTCCCCAGTGTGTTAGATAGATGTCCGTAAATTACAGACCTGCTTCTCTCAGACGGGTTGTTGATGAATTAACAATGGGTTCATCCTCAGTTGCTCTATTTTGATGCCTTACAAGCTGTATTTTTTTCATTTCATTAAAAAAACAAACAAAACAAAACATTTCACACACAACAAAGCAATACAAAATAAAATAAAATGAAAGGCAGCAGCAGCAGAAAAATAAATTATTGATATCTGCTCCTTTTAATAT